TAATAATAAAAAATAATAATATTTATTAAAATTCATTAGAAAAATAAAATTATTTTTCAATTGATATATTTATATGTAATGTAGTTATATATTGTAAGTTAAAAAAAAAAAATAGTATAATATAACAAGTAAGTTGCACAAATAAAAAGTGTCATAATAAATATATAATAATATATATATTCTTATAAAAGGTATTTAAATTTTCAACCTACTTTTTCTCATTAATTTTAGATTTTAAGAAAAAAATTAGCAAGCACCCGTGTAATACACGGGTGCTGTACTAGTCCTCCCTATATATAATTTCAGAATGCGCTGAGCCTACGTGGCTGCTTCTGGTGGTTCAAAATCTTATTTGGCGAAGAATCATGCTTCGTAATTAGGTTTGGATAAATAATATTAATATATTAATAATTAATAATCTAGGTTCGGGTATTCTATAAATATTATTTAGCTAATTTAGGTATTTTAATATCACTTTTACTAATATAACCATTTAATTTTTTGTAATTTTACATAGTGAGACACTAAGTGACTAATATATCCCTGAATTTTGATTTGTTTCCTTCAATAAGCTATTGAATTATAAATGTATTTTAAAAGTTGATAACTTTGTATTTCTTATCGGTTTTACATATATATAATATATCAAATTAATCATCTTTTGATGATCTTCGATTTGACATCCATATTGTATATATATGAAATAAATAAAATATATTTATCTTTATAATAATAAAAAATAATAATATTTATTGAAATTCATTAGAAAACTAAAATTATTTTTCAATTGATATATTTATATGTAATGTAGTTATATATTGTAAGTTAAAAAAATTAGTATAATATAACACAAGTAAGTTGCACGAATAAAAAGTGTCATAATAAATATATAATAATATATATATTCTTATAAAAGGTATTTAAATTTTCAAACTACTTTTTCTCATTAATTTTAGATTTTAAGAAAAAAAAATTAGCAAGCACCCGTGTAATACACGGGTGTTGTACTAGTTATACAATATTTTATAATAATTAAGTTTGTCACAATAGTACTTATGGAATTGGTTTGTTATTGCTATCAAGTAATACGAAATTATGAAATCATTCACAACAAATTGAAACATGCCATATATTAATAATATTTGAAACATGTATATTATGAAATCATTCACAAATGGTAACATATATCATCAATTCAATTATTATGGTACATCTTTTATTAAATTTAAATCAACATCATATATATATATATATATAAAGGTTTGATTATTTTTAAAATAGTAACTATTTCTCGTAAAAAAAAATGTTGTTTACTAATTCTGGAAACTTTTAAACATTTTATGTTATGTTTTAAAAATATAAATAGGTAATTAGGATAATTAATTAAAATAATAAATCACATAAAAATTTCTTTTGTACCTCAAGATATTATATCATATATTTGTACCTAAAATATCAAAATCTATCACATTTCTAATAAACATTAGATTTACTTATATATTTTAAACTAATCACATCAATAAATAATATTAACATACATTCAGTATTTACCATAATATAAAAAAGAAATATTACTCCTATAAATGGTATAAATAATATTGACATTATACGACAATAAATTTTTCAATAAAGTAATATTTGAGTATTATAATAAAATATGTAAAATTATTATTTTTATGTATTAAAAAATAAATATATATGTTAAAATGTTATTTATATTAATATAGATGGATCAACAGGCTAATACATTGTTTGCAAAAATATTTTACATTACGAAATCCCCGTGCATCACACAGGATTTTCACTAGTATATTCTTACATTTTATCACATATCTATTCACCTTCTCAATTCCATTTTCATTCTTTTAATTTATTCCCTCTCATTTTATTATAACTCAAAACAAAATATCCAAGAACACAATATATATAAACCATTCAATCATATAAGTTGAACTTTTAGAATTATATGGAACCAATCAGATACAAACCCACCAATGTGTGAAAATTGACATTTGACTAACTGTTTTTTAGCGCTTTTTTAACATGACCTGCCAAAAAGCAGTGATGTCCACGTAATTTTAGGTTCTTTTGATTGTGATTCTGAAAATGCTACGGTTCTATGGATGTTTTAACCGTTGAATCAT